TGGGGTGCTGCTTCCATGTGGGCTTTGTTGTTTCTGGGCTAGATGTTGTTACTTTCATACCAGGGCCCCTTTTCCCGGAGCCCTTAGGCAACCACTAGGCTTCCCTCTGCGGACTTGCCTGCTGTGGGACCAGGCCCCACGGGGCCTTCTGGGCCTGGCATCTTCCTTTGGGTGTCCTGTTTCCAAGGTCCGTCCATGTTGTTGCTGGGATCTGCCCTTCGTTCCTTCCCCTGGCCAACAGCATCCCACAGGTGGACACAATCCTGTGGTGGCTGAGCCCAGTGGACTGTATTTCCAGTGCTGGGCTGTAAGCTGCCCGTCCACTTTCTCACCAGGTCCTCGGTGATCGTGGAAGGTTCTGGAATGTGAGCAGGTAGACGAATGAAGGAAGGATTGAGAGGCCCTCAGCCTGGTGGGCGGAGAGGGCATGGAGCAATGGGAGACTAGAACCGTCCAAAACCAGGAACGAGGATGCCATGGACAAGGGGAAATAGCGCTCCATCTCACTCTTCCCCGGCTTCCAGGTCAGCCCCTTCATCAACGAGAACACCAGGCAGAAGTTTCTCGTCTACAGCGGCAGCAACTACCAGGGCCCTGGGGGCCTTGTGGACTACCTGGACAAAGAAGTGATCCCTGACTTCTTGGGGGGTGAATGCCTGGTGAGCACAGTGGCTGGGTGTCCTGGGCAGTGAGGGGTGTGGCCCCTGGGCGCTGGAATTGGGTGAGGAGGCCACCCTGGTTCTTTGGAGGACGGAGCTCATAGGAGGGGCCACCTCCCGACAGCGTGTGTCCTTTCAAACACGAAAGAGACAGAGGGATCTGGGAACCCGTTCCCCAGGTGCGAGGCTCATAGGTGCCAAGAGTCAGCTGGCCCGACCTCGGTGCCCCCACATGCCCCTGGGGTTTCCGGGGGCCGGGTTTGGGCGTAGATAGCCAGGCCTTTCTTCCAAGGCATCTCCGGTTGGCCTTCACCCTCCAGCCTGTCGGTGAGCAGCCAAGTGTGTCACCCACCTCCGCTGAGGACCCTGCCAACGTCTGTGCATCTGTATCCCCTCGATGAGGCCCCCCAAACACCTGTCGGGGGTTACCTGCTCTGCTCAAGCCACCCCTGGCCGCGGGGAAGGGATTTTAAAGTCCTGGCCGCCCCGGACCCCAAAGGCTGGTGTGTCTAAAAGGGTTTGTCCCAATGCACAAGCACACGAAGCCGTGGGGGCTGCAGGGAAGGGGTCACCACCTGCCGGGGGGCTGCACTGGTGGCCGGTCCAGCAGGTCCTGCTCTGCTGTCTCCTGCAGAAACAGGTGGCGAGCGTGCGTCATGTTCAGGCCATTCAGGGGAACAGGCCAGCCTCACTCTCTCCAAGTGCTGCGGCACCTCCGTACTGTTTACGGAGGATCCTGCAGGTCTCGGAGAGACTGAGCTAAGATGGGGATGGGGGTGCGGGGACAGGGGGCAGCAGCCCACCTTGTGAACACTGGGGTTTTTCCGAGTGAGTTGGGGCTATAACCCTTTAGCAAGAGCGGGGCTCTTCTGAGAGCCTGGGGATCCAGGATGCCTTTGCTTTCGGCAAGCCTGTGGGTTACATGTTAACCTGCTAACCACAAGGTTGGCAGTTCAAAGCACCAGCTGCCCTGCAGGAAAGAGATGAGGCCTTTTGTTCCATAGGGTTACAGCCTTGGAAACACCCAGGGGCAGTTCTGCCCTGTCCTGTAGGGTCGCTGTGAGTCAGAGGTAACTCGATAGCACGGAGTTTGTTGTTGGTGGTTTGTCCATCAGGGATTTTTTGGGCGGAGGGGCGAGGGACAGGATGCATGGTGACGTAGTGGTTACATGTTGGGCTTCTAACTGAGAGGCCAGCAGTTCAAAACCACCAGCTGCTCCTTGGATGAAAGAAGTGCTTTCTACTCTTGTAAAGAGTTACAGTCTCAGAAACTCACAGGGGCCGTTGACTCGATGGTGGTGAGTTTGGTATATCATAGCCCTGGATCCCTGGTGATGTGGAAAGTTACAAGGGGGGCTGTTAATTGAAAGGTCGACAGTTGGAAGCCACCAGTGGCTCCTCAGGAGAAAGATGAGCTTTCTACTCCCGTAAAGAGTGACAGTCTCAGAAACCCACAGGGGCAGTTCCACCCTGTCCTGTAGGGTCACTGTGGGCCAGCGTTTAGTTGATGGTGGTGAGTTTGGTTTTTGTTGGATGAGGGGTGTATACGTGACCCCTGGTTAATGCAGTGGGGACCAGGGCCCCCTCCCCTTCAGCACCACCAGGGGATCCAGTTCACCTGTCTTTGTCTCCTTCCTTCCTGCGTGAGCAGCCGTTTGCTGTGTAATCTTGGGCAAGAGACAGGGTCTCTGAGCCTGCCTCCTCCTCTGCATAGGGCAGAAATGCTGGCTTGAGCCCCAGGGTGGGCTCCGGGGTTAGGAAGCCCGCCTCCCAGCTCAGCCTGGGCTGCTGTGATGAGGGTGTTGTTCCGGGGGCTGCAGCGCACAGGAGCCGGGACTCAGTCTTTTGTTCTCATTTTCTACGATGTTCCACTGCTGTGGCGTGGCCTCTGGCCTCCGGGGACTCCCATGGTTCACGTGTGTCACAATCACACTGTGTGCTCTGAGGAATTTCCATGGCTCTGATCTCGGTTTGAAACCACCAGCGGCTCCTAAGGAAAAAGACGAGGCTTTCTACTCTGCCCTCGGTGCCCATCTCAGAAACTCACGGGGCAGTGCTGCCCTGTCCTGGGGGGTTGCTTTGGGTCTGTCCGCATCGACTCTGTGGCACTGAGTGTAGCCCTGGAATCACTTTCAGATGTGCACCTTGGCGCCCCGGGCCCATCCGTGATGCCACGTGGCCGACAAAACCAAACCCGTGCGGCTGAGCTGATCCCCGCCTTGTACAGGGTCTCTGAGGGGAGCGGGCAGCCTCCTTTTCCCCCTCAGAGCGGCTGGTGGGTGTGAACCGCCGCCCTTCCCTTCCGGTTAGCAGTTCAGCGCTCACCTGACGGCACCCCAAAGGCTCCTGGTGTCAGCATCACTGAAGTTTTCCATCACCCCGAGAGGAAACCCCAGCCCCTTCAACAACCCCACCCCGGCCCTCAGCTAACCAGTTTTCTCCCTTCTGTGTCTGCCTTTGCTGCGTCGAGATCTTTCCCGGACCTGTGATCACACAGCACTTTGCCTTTGTCCCCCAGTGTAACGTCCCTGAAGGAGGGCTGGTCCCCAAGGCCCTCTACCTGACGGAGGACGAGCAGGAGCATGCCGACCAGCTGCGGCAGTGGACCGAGACGTACCATTCGGCCAGCGTGCTCCGGGGGGCCCCCCACGAGGTGCTGGGCTAGGAGGCCTGCCCATCTGGGGAGAACCTGGGCTGCCCAGATGCAGAGCCTGAGACTGGATTCTGGGGCGAGTGCCTGGTTGGCAGACAGCTCTCAGGAGGGAGGGACAGGCTGGGCGTGGGGGAGAATGGGGATCAGCAGTGGTCGCTGCCTCTGTTCAGCTGGACAGCTGGCGGGTGTGAGCAGCATCTCAGCACTGACCCCCGCCCCCTCCTGCACCTGCCCTCCCACCGGTCATTGACTGTGGCTGTCCCCAGGGACATGAGGCAGAACCTTCCAGGCATGTCAGAGAGAAGTGGTCCCTTTGCTCCGAGCAAGTCTCTAGACCTTGGTGGCCTGAAGGTGTGGCCCAGGACAGGAGACTTGGGAGGGTGCCCCTACCCCTCCTAAGGAGGCCTTCCCCAGGTGCGGGGTTCCCAGGTGGAGGGCCAGGCGCTCGTCCTGGGCTGGGGCCTGAGCCCTCACTGCCATCCCGATGCAGGTCATGGTGGAAATTCTAGAAGGGGAGTCAGTCATCACCTGGGACTTTGACATCCTGCGTGGGGATGTGGTGTTTAGCCTGTACCATGCCAAGTCGGCACCCACACAGGGGCCTCCCGAGCCAGGTGAGCAGCTGGCGGACAGGGACTGTAACTTGGACACCGACTACAGCCGCGTGGAGGCACCGCTGATCTGCCGAGAAGGGGAGAGCATTCAGGTGTGTGTCACGCACTGCTGAGCTGTCTCCAGGTGCC